GGCATAAAATTATTGAGGCTGCGTGTCTGACTGGATGACGCTTAATTTTTTATAGTCAAATTAAACCACAACCCCATGTCTGATGGAAAATTCTGCTCAACCTGCTTGCAATTTTTGTTGTTCTGTTTTGCAACTTGTAGATATAATGAGTTCTTTCATTTCACAGTACCATTATTGCATTAAAAGTAATCACTGTTTTAATTATTTCAAAAGACATTGACCTTTGTATAATGATAAAAACCACAAACAGAGTTTAAAATTGAGGTTGCAGAAAAGCACACAGATGTCTGTATTTTAATATTTTTAATATGTTTTTATGTGTTTTTTTTATAAATTAAATTTCACAAAAAAGTATCGTAAACCAAAGCTGCAACAAGCAGATAAAGCTTTGGAAAGATAAACAAATTTAACCTTCCTTCTGAACATGCCATCAAGGCTTGATTTGCAGCTATCACTTTGGACAGATATGCAAATGAGTGTCATCAGTGAGGTGTTTTATCATCACGTCAACTCATTAAACAGAGCGACAGGTACTGTTTGCTCTACTGTCTTCTTATTAGATAAAAAACGCAGTGTGATGACTACAGATACCAGCTCCTTACTGAGCCGTTCAGTATCAGCGGGGAAATTAGACAAGACAATGCAAAACAACACAGTGTGGTGCAACGCTAAGGGAACTCATTAGAACACTAAAGCATGGGAGGAAGCCACATGATGCTTTGCAACATGTCATCAGGGGTGTTGTGAGTGTTAATACACAATCATAATTTGATAGCTTGTACACAATTACTTCATTAAATTTTGAGAATGTTGCAGGGTAAACTCACAGCCCAAAATGGACATAAATGAGGAAATGCTTTAATGTAATGTGATAAATCAGACCTCATGATTTGCTGCAGCTTAAATTGATGCATTAAGTTGTGTATTTGTGTACTGAAAGATCATTTCGGGGGGTCATGTTGTTTGTGTTTTTCTCCAGTGCTACACGCTTTAATTTATTTAGAGCAAGGGACTGGCTTGAAAACTCTTCAAGAACCATCAGTTTCACTTCAGTTGCATCTTTACACATTGACATACTGTATTAAAGAAAGGCTTGACAAATTGAACTGTCATGAGTGTGACTCAGCTGACACTTGAATCAGACTTTAGAGACAAAGAGCAGCCATGTCTCAGTGTCTACAAATGTCAGACAGAGCAGGCTGAGACCATCAACCACACAAGCATTAATGAAATTGCCCACTGCTTCGGCTGCACATTATACCAGCATCATTAACACAAATATTTGTAAATTAGCTTTGCAGTGAGCTGTACATGAAAGCGCCCCAAACTGTTCTTCATATAATACTCATTAACCTCCAAACACAAAGCTTACAAACTGAAAACAAGGGGAAAATGGAGAAGAAAAGATCGGTGGTTTGCTCTCTTATTTTATAGTGTCCCATGGGTACCTCTGTCTCTTGTGCAGAGGAAACACACCTGTCTGAAGCTCAGAGGAGAAATCTCCTGCTTTTATCTCAATAAACAGACAAGCCAGGCAGCCATTATCAAAAGCCCTTTACTGCTTTTGTTTACCTCTCTATCATGACTCACCTGTCACCAGGGGAATTTAACAGTGGTGGTGATTTATTATCTCTTTTAAATTAAGCTAAATTAAATTCATCCATTGGAAGCATGAAGATTGACAGCAAGTCTATTGCCTGGACTTTGAACAGCGTATTGTGATATTAAAGTTAGGCACAGCAGATATTATAAAACATGATATTGTCTTTAATTACCTGTTTCTATTTTTAATTACTTTTAGTTATTTAAACATACATTGCAGTAATTCAATGCCTTCAACATAATGTGCTTTGTGCCATGCATGCAGTATAAATATCCAGATGTGCTTTTATTTTTTAAAATTTTTACAAGTGAACAACATCATAAAAGATAAGAGGAAGGTTTGCAATAAAAGTATATTCTTGTTGCACATCTAAATGCATGCAGGTACCCGAGAAATTACACTCACAGCTTTGGCCGTTTAACATGTGTAGGCTGATGAAGCATTACCCCCTTATTGTGACAACAGTACTGCTTTGTGATTCATTGTGCCTTACTCTCTAAAAAACAGCTGTCTAACTGCACCACATTATGATCAGCTCCTCACCTCTCTCTTGCATTTAACAATTGCATATCTTCATGGAGTAACTGCTTCTCCACAGCTGCTCTTAGAGGTAAAGCATTAAAAAGTGTCAGTTTGGAAGATATTTGTAGTTATTTATGTAAAAGTAAAAATGTTACTCACTGAATGTATATCAGTATATGGGTAATTACATCAGAAATCATCTACCTGGGAATCTCAATGCAGAATGTATTTTACTGTTCACTCTATATCACTGTGTGTATAAAACAATATGTAACTATTCCCATTAATTTCTACTATTACATCAGATTTATCAGTCATTGAAACCGCTCATAAGAAGAGTTCTTAAAACAACAATGCTCAACTGTAATGTTAACAATTACGTCGTTAGTGTGCTGCAATGACAGGTCACGACCACAGGATGGCACTGTGGCTTTATCTGTGAACTCACCGAGCGGCTCTTGTCTGATCAGCAGTAAAAACTTTGAAGAAGTCTCAGATTCCCCCAAGGAAACCATGAAAGACAAAGTTGTGAAAGCTGGAGCCGAAGCGATTAAAAAAAGTATTACTGTAAAAGAGCTGGTGTTGTGATCTTGTTTCCTGTGATCCATATATATTGAGCAAAGGGAGAGTGATGGTTGAGTGGGGACTGCAGCACCTCAGTGGCCCTGCAGATGAATGAAGATGCAAATGGAGGGAGGGGGAAGTTAAAGCCTTTAGTGACACTAAGCACACCCCAGAGGCTCTAGTGCAGAACGCTCAGCCTCAGCACATCAAGGACACAGCCCCTCTGTCTGAGCGTCCTCTTGGCACGCATCGTATCCCGTCCATCTACATTTCCATCCAAACAAACACTTGACTCCTTATGCTGTGCTGAGCCAATGACAAGAGACAGATGTGCCCTCCTCAGAGAATCCAGTTTGATAAGCTGCTGCTCCACAAACTATTAAATAACCCACCCCCCCACAGGAATAAAAAAAGCCCTATTTTACATGAGAATGGACATGCCTGGAAACCGTAACCTCACGCTTTGGCTTCGCCTTGGCTGTAAATGTCAATTTCATGTCAGATTCTTCGTCTATTCATCCATGACGTCTGTGATTGCTTCATCCTTTTGCAAGAGAATGGCTTGAAATGATCGTTGGACCATTCTGGTGGTACAGTGCCCTGTAAATGAAATGCATCTTAAAGTACTGGCAGACAATCACACGATCAGGCTCTGCTTTATAAAATATGAAATTGTGCACTGTACTGTATATTTCTTAAGTTATGCAGTGTGCCTCAACAGGCTCGAGGTGTTTATAGTTTTCTTTATTCGCTAAGAGCAGCTTCCTAGTGGGACCTTGGCTGCGCTATGGAGTGTCACAACCATGATGCAGGCCCCATGTGGCATGCTGTTTCTGTGAGTCATTCAGGCATACGGTACTTTCCTCTCCACTGCTTACAGAAATACAGGTGAGCCCACAGCAGGTGAACCTGTCATAGTCAGCACCTGCAAGATCCTAACAGCCAGCAGGGGAAAACTGAAGGACAGAGGAAGTTTTGTTGTGAAGAGCTCTGCTGTGCCACCTGGGAAGTTTTGTGATGAAGGTGAAACACAATATTGTCCTAAAGACACATGGTGAGGAAGACAAACGGTCACAAAATATCCTTACTATAATATTATTGGTTTTGCTTTATGTGGAAAATATGTAAAAAAGATGTTCTTCTGAATTCCATGCATTGGTTTATGCATTTGATTATTAAGTCAGTTCTAAATAAAAAAGAGCATTTAGTATAATAATGATGTAGAAGAAGAACAATCCGTATGTGTCAGATTATTTAGGTCATTATTTACGTAATAAGTCAAAACTGCCCTTTTGGCCTTTTAGAGCGTTGCTCATACAGTTCTGCTTGGCACTATAATTTGTTTAAATGTTGATTTATGAACTAATTGTCTGTAATTGCTGCTTAGTGCCCCTGTTAATCCAAGCTGTCTGCCTCCTGAAGCACATTAGGCCAGATTTGTATAATGAAGTAATTAGTTCAATTACAAAGAAGAAAGTAGGGATAGAATAAGAAACTGGGAACAAGAAGCTCGAAAGTACTCCCGCGCCATAAGCGTGTTTTCAGTCTTGCTATCATGAAATGTACTAAGCAGAGTATATGAAAAATAGCCTTGTTGGGAGCAAATGTTTTTTTTAATTAAAGCCTGCACATGTCAACAAAGTTAATTTGAATATTCTAATATGGACATTTTTTTCTGTTTGGTTTGCAATGCCAGTTTCTGGAACAACTTTGCTGCAGCATCTCATATTTCAAGTTATTTCAGCTTGCTAACAATCCTCGCTACTTCACACGTTCAAAAAATATAGCTCTGTGTTTTTCTATTTGGCTTCTGTCACCCGCCAGAAGCTGCCATTACAACCAAAAGTGCTCCATTGTCTGCTAGAATTGTCATTGTTATTAGTCTTTTGGATTGCCTGTGGAGGTATCGGCAGGCTCCGGGGGAAGCAGGCGCCAGGCTGGATAATTAGTTGTTCTTCGATGCCAGACGGGCACATTGCCGTCACTTGGAGGGGAAATGGAAAGTGGCATCACTATCACAGTAACACCGGAACAACCTTTGGTGTGAGGGCTGGGTTCCAGCGCATCTGTCACACCACAAGTCATCTACCCACTGGCATGACAATAATGCTTACCAGTCTAGCAATACAAAGTATGGATAATTACTTTATCTGAAACAGAATTATTCTTGTCATATTTGTCATCATTAGTTGTGGTGTGGTGGAATCGATATAGTTTCTGTATTGGTTCTGCTGATCATTGTGGACAAGAAGATTGAAAAATGTTGGCATTTTAAATCTTCCATAAAAGAGAAAAACAAATAGCAAAAGGACTGTTTTGCCTTTATTAATATATATTCCAGTTGTACATGTATTAAATGTTGGCCATAATTTGATGCCAATTTTCCTTTTATGGCTTCCTAGACCATTTAAACCCCTAAAATACAGATTTTGCAGACTCTGTAGCCCCTGAAGCTGCATCTTCCAGCATTACATCTCCAATCATGAGCTTACTGCTTGGGCTGCTGGTGACCCTCGGGTGACAGTTCTGCTGGTTTTGAAGGGAAATGCGGATGATGAAAAGAAGTATAGAGATGCCAGCGAACAAGGTTCCCCCGAAGCCCAGCAGGATGCCATACAAGATTGGCAGAGCCACATCCAAAGGCCCCTTCTGGTACAGAGGGACAGGACCCCGCTCCACAATCAGATCCAGGTCACGCCATGTCAGATCCCTTACTAACACACACACACAGACACAAACATGACAGACACACTTACCATCTCAATGGACTGTGGGAGCATTTTTGTCAAGTTTTAACTTGAATGAAGCACAGTGGGGAATTGAAAAAAAATGGACAGGTGATAATTATATTTTTGAATTTCTAGGTATCCTGGGAAATACTCCTCATACAGTGAGTGTTGATGTTGAGAAGTAATGAGTTGGAAGCATGCCCATGCCCACGGCCACCAAATCTAATCTGGCATCTCATCTAAACACTTAATAGATTCAGGGTTCAGTGAAACATTATATCATTTGTCATTCAGATAGTCTTCAGAGGGATAACCCAAAAACCCCCTTTTGACATCAATAGCCTAAGATTTTTGGAGCTTAGACGTGGCCACACATGTTAAGACACGGTTCTATACCAAACTAATGTGACTCTTTCAAGCTTCAGGATAAATTACTTTACCTTTTCTTTTTCTGACCCTCTGGGCTGCATGCTGGTGGTCCTTTGTATCTGATTGTATATGTGGGAAGTTTCGAGAGGCGACATATTGGTGATAGTCTTCAACATTGTGTTTCAGACTCAAGACTTTGTCCTGGTTTATGTTCTTCCCCGCCTCTGTAAACACACAAGCACAGGACCACTCTAAAAGTATTTGTGCTAAAAGTGTATGTATTTCCTCCTATAAAACAGTGTACATTTGAATTTAATTGTTGTTTTCTTACCCTGAACATAATTAGCTCTGGCAGGAGAGCAACTGTTGTCCTTCGGTTCAGAAATAAACAAAACAAACCACTCAAGTTTCTACAAGTACAGAACTGCAATCAAGTGTACAATAATTGCTGCATTCTGCATCCACCCCCCACCCTCCCATGTCTTATAACTCATCTCTTCCCATCCTCTCCTTGTCTTTTTTTTTACTCCAAAGCTGCTGATGAAAGGAGCAGATGGTTTGTTCTGTGGCTTGTGTCAGCTCCACTGAGTCCTCTGTCAGATCATTTACACCTCCTTCTATCCAACGCCACACGGCTGTGGAGTTGTGTGTACACTGGACTGCAACACATGCCAAAGACTGGCAGTGTGCAAAATATGCCACTTTTGAAGTTCCAATTAAAATGCATCTCAAAGTAATGAAGCAATTACACATTGTTGTTAAAGTCTTATGGAGGCCTTCTTGACCGAAATAAACCAATTTTTGAAAATACATCAGCATGCGCCCAAATGAGGCTTTGTTCCAATTTTCTTTTGTCAAGGGACATGCTGAGATGTCTGGCCATGAGATTTGCCTCTATCAACAACACTGTACTGTACATAAAAAGTGAGCTATTTTAATTTGAAACCCATTATTAGTAGCATCACATAGAATTATTCTATTTAAGAAGATTATTCAAGGCTACAGGTGTGTGTGTCTCAATTTGTTTCTCACCAATGGCGATATCTGTTCTGCCGATGTGCTGCAAGGCACGAGAAAGCCTGTCGTAGTAGGTCTGCACACCGTACTTCAGCAGCCACTCTGTCAGGGCCGTCCGGCACTGAGCCTCACTATCTAGTAAACACAAAACATATGGCCCTCACACAGACAGGTCTCTGACAGTCGGCTTGCTGCCAGAAACTCCCCAAGCTAAGCTGGACAAGTGAGAAACAGACAGGTCTCAGGGTGGACTTAACTTAATTTCTATTACAGCTTATAGCTTGTGACTATTAAAGGATAGGTCCACATTGTCCCAAGTCTATCGTAATAACATTATTCACATGTCTGTATGTACCTTTGGCATGTGCATATGAAGAGACAGTAGAACAAAGATGACATTTTGAACTAAAAAACTGTAACTTTGAAAATTTGCCACTTCATTTGTCTAGTATAGACAAATAATAGCTTTAGCTGAACAGTAGTATGCATTTAGGTACAGAAGGAGGACTGTGGATTTTGTCACCCCCATCACGTACAACAACTTACTTTCCATCTATTCAGGGCCAGTATCAACAGGAGGAATTATAATAGTGACCAGTAACTCTTTCAATGTATATATGGACATATACTGTAAGAATTTTTTTAATATAGACTTGATCTCTTTGGTCTAAAGTGCCAAAGATCTCAGGTGAGATGTATTATAGGTGATGATGGGTGCTAACCTGTAGCAGAAGAGGTGTCTCTCTTGGCTCTTGGCTTGAGGTCTAGTTGATTTTTTTCTGGTGAGAGGCGCTCAAGGTGATGGAATATGTTCTCCTCTGGGTTAGAGAGGGCGAACAGAAGGTCCTCGCACTCTTTAGGCGTCAGCATCTCCACTAAACGCTCCAGCTGATTGACACTGATGTCTTCTGCCACTAAACAGCCATAACACACACTTTAATCACAAGAAGTGATGTACAAACTCCAGGAAGAACACCAATTTAGCCAGTAGGCAAAAGGACCATCGCTTGTACTCAACAATCACATGAAGGCATGACCATGCAGTGCTGTGTAAATTCCAGTTAATGAAGCTTAATGCTGACACCAAACATTTCTGCAGCATGCTTGCGCAATCAGTTAGCAAGTGCTGCTTGTGGGGTGTGAAACTGTCATATTACCCTCCTCAGCTGCAGAAAATAGAAACTGAATAATCAACATTTCACAACAGAGAATAGCAATCAGCAAATTCAGTCTCGCTGTGAGTTTTTTCAGTTGAATTATTTTAACATGCAGGTTGCTAACTGCACCTGCAGTAGGAATATTTGCTCTCACCTGTGTCCTCTCCGAGTGTTGAACTCAAAAGTATAAAGATGAAGAAGGGACAGAATTTCCAGACTTTCATGTCAGCTAAAGTAGTACAGACTGGATACAAGCGACTAACAATATATGTTTATTTTCAAATGATCTAGAATTTATTTAAATTGTTAAAAAGTGCAACTGTATGAGTAGCATTCTTTGTCTTTTATGAAAGAGCCAATCACCATGCAAAAGATATTCATGTCACTGAGCAGCAGAAAATGCTGGAAGATTTACTGTAGGCCTGTAACAGTTATTTTCTCACTGATTAATCAACCATTTTTTGGATTAGTAAAGCAATGGTTTAGTCTATAAAATGTCTAAAAACTAAAACAAAATTCTATTACAAGTTTCAAAATGTTTATTTAGTCTATATATTCAATACACAATTGTATGAGACATCAACACATCCTCACACTGCAGAACTAGAGCAGGCTAATGTTTGGAATTTATACTTGATAAATTAATTAAACAATACATCGATTACAGAAATTGCCATGATTAATCTTCGGACAGCTGACATCACATTACAAAGTTTTAATGATGTAATGATGTGAATATTCTGAGATATTTATGAAATAGTATGTAAATATCAGGTGATATGTATTTCAAAGAATTACTATAACAATATGTGTGACAGTTGTTTTAGGTAATACAGATAACAGAGCTCATGGTGTGACATACACATCGGTTGCAGGTTAACCACACCATACAAGATATATGAGGCATCTTCTTAGCTTGCACAGTGTCTCTACTCCTTAACTGTTGTGTTATGTTGTCTGAGAGACTTGCATTACTTGCAGCTATGCACTTAAAACCCTGACATTGTTAAGTAACTAAAACACATTTAGAGGCCTTTCGGGGAAAATCCATTCCATGCCACTGAGACTTGGAGGGTGCATTTATATTCATATGAATGTACCCACATGCATAACCATGGGCCAAAAATATGTTGTTTTGCTCTGTGGTATTGTTATTATTTCACATTTTAAAACGTCTCCAGAGAGAGTTTGATTGTCAGGAACCAAAAACAAAACAGACCCCAGCAGTGAAGGGGCAAGCTCACAATGATCTGTTTTATTTAAAATTCTATTGAACTTAAAAGCTTTTTCCAGACCAGGTCTGGTTGAAAACCCCTGCAGTTAGCTTTACAAAAACTACAAAGTCTAGCCTACATATGGAATCTGTATCACTGGCATTACAAAGAGGGTCATGCATGTATTGTGGAGTAGAAAATGAAATTGTAATATTGAGTTATGCAAAAGTAAAACTATTATGTTTGTCTTGGCTTTTGATGTGCACCACTGGAGAGATGTTTGCTGAATGTAGTTGAGATGCATCTCTCAAGTAGGGAGAAACATGTTTAATGACATTATTGTGTGTGCTACAGTGAAGGCATGTTTTAAATTGTTAATAAGCTTCATTTGCCAAACAGTAAAGGTTGTTTGTGTGGGCTGAGTCTCAAATTCTCCATGTTGCCTAATGAAAAAAAATCATGCTCTGGGGCTGAGAAACACAGAAAGTTGGGTGTGGGTGGTATAATGGCTCTGTAATGATTTGAGATGTTGCACTTGTAGAAAAAAACAGAAACACTGGGCACAAGGTCAGGCAATTTATTCATATTAGTGAGTTGCTCAGTACAGTATCTTATTGAAAATACATGCATAATATATTTTGTTCTATTATGTCACAAGGACAATACATACAATATACTACATTCCATATACCACATAAAGCATGAAAAGAACATAGACAACAAAGATCATATAGTTTCCAACATTCATAATGCAGTCAAAATTCAACAAAATTAGTTACTTCTTTGACTTTTTTCTGGTATAGTAACTGTTAGCTTGTGAAGCCGCATCCCCATGTCTCTTATACTTCACACCACTGAAATCTGGTTAAATACAGATACAGACTCCGGTGGAATGAAGGATAGAACACATGGAATATTCTTGCAGAAAGTGTCTTGATTATAAGACAAATATACATTACATGGCCGTGTTAACTTACAGTCTGAGGTTATGATTCATCACAGTTTTCCCAAAGTAATGCAAAGTGTGTTTATTGCAGGAACACTGAGTGCTTTATTTTCCCTGTGAAGCTTCAGGATGGAGGCTGACCCTACCTGGTGCAGAGGAGGCAATTGGAACTCTATGATTCATGAGAAAGCCTATAAGGTTGGGGGGCTGGCAATGAGTGCAGAAGGAACTGGATGTTGGCCTCTCCCTTTTCTTCAGTTTAAGTTTGAGCCTGAGCCCGAGCGAGACCAGGCCTGCCCTACTCTGTGGCTCCAGGGTTTCAGACTGCTGTTGAAATCCTGGGCACTGGCACGTTATCACAGGCCTGAGCTGAATGGCTGTTTAGTCATCAATGATGCAACCCCACCACAGCCCTCCTCGAGTCCACCACTGCCACCAGACACCACGGCCAGCCTCGCTATCTGTCTGCCTCAGAGTCACGCTCCTAGGGAAACACACCACCAAGTGAACATATCGCTCACTCCCCACACCTGAAGCTTTCTGATAGTCATACTGTCCCCTCTTTCATGCACTCAAGACTTGCACACTTTTTCACACAACTGCTACCCTCCTACCCCCAAAAACTTCTGTGGGTCCTGCTTAATCTTGATACAAATGCTGCTTGCAAGTATCTGATTTATCCAGGTGATTTTATCATCTTAATAAATTCGCCACAAGTATTTTTGTAACAGAATATTGGTTATAGTTGTAGCTCAAGACAAATCTACTGTCTAGACTTTTAGCTTTCTCTGTGCATAGATGAATGGCTTACCTTGCTTAAAATGCATTACTCACCTTATTTGCCCTTTTAGTTCCCCAGTGACTCTGTGAATTCAATGCAAATCAAACTACAAAAATGCTCAAAGCAGTCTTCACAAGGAACTGAAGGCACAACTGGTCTTCTCTCTGACTTTTTTCTCTACCTGATGCAGGTATTGGTGTTTTAGAGGACTGTGCCGACCTATAAGACACAAGCACCTGAGTAGGACCACCCATTTATTCAGCCATAAGAAGCTGCCACACCCTGCCATGTGGCTTGGGTTTATTGTCAAGAATTAAGGAAAAGTGATAATAAATACAGAACCTGGAATCAAAGATTTAAAAAAAGTTTTACTAAAATAATTTTTATCATTTTTATAAATTAACATTACAGACACAACATCTTATCCAATTCAAAGGCTTTGAAAGAAGATTTCAATGTAGGTATAAACTTACAAATTAAATAAAGCTGCTTCATCTAAAATTCCCCACTGTAATTTTTGTCTCACTTTCTGGGGGAAAACCACATTCTTTATTAGGTCAGAGCATCTCTGTAGCAAATCAGAAGCTCTTCAAACTCATTTTCATAAAAATATTTGAATGATTATTTGCAACTGTGACCAGAAAAAAACTTCGCCTTTGCAGTTACAGTAGTTAAATAGCTGAGTAGTCTACCTCCTGAGTATTGTGCAGCACTAAAAATCACTATAATGGAGATTGTAATACATTATTACAATGCAGTTAACTGAATGGCCATCTGTACAACAGGTAGTAGCTAGAGATAAAACCCAGGCACATACATAAATACATTTTATTAACAAAAACTATAGCTCTGTTCTCTAGCTGCAAGTATCCTTTCACCCTTAAATGAAAAATGGGGCGACACCCGACATCCCTCACTGTGAAAGGACCGACTTTTTAAAAAGCATTCCTTCCCCTCACAATAGCAGGGTTGGGGGTGGGGGATGGGTAAGGAGGAACAGCAGCTGACACATTCCTGAGGTAGAGAGCTGCACCAAGCCTCACCTGACAAGATATTTCTCCAGAGAGCACATTTATTTGAGCCCAATCTTCTTTATATGTGATTTTATTGACAAGGACACCAATATCTTTGAGTTATGAGCTGTTGTTCTCCAGAGACAGACAGTGCTTTACCTCTGTGCTCTGTGTGGGCCAGATAGCTCTGGACCGTGTGACTTGTTTGAGGCAATCTTTTGGACCTCTGGAAGGTGACAGCTGAAAAACGAGCCTCTAAAAACACTCGGCTTGAAGGTAGCCCTGCGTCTGGCTTACTAACCACTCTGACAGAGACTTTGCAGGAGAAGTTTTTAGCTCCACTTGCCATGTTGCCTCTCACTGAACCAATAGTGTTGATATTCTTTTCACAGCTAGACTTTACCATACTTGCAGCATGTATCAGCGTGCATCAGATACATCAGCTGATGTCTCCTTGAAGTCTCTGACAAAAGTGTGTGTTGTTTTTGGGAAGCTGCCTCAAATGAAATCAAAAGCCCCAGTGTTAAACAGGAGCTACTATCCACAAAAGGCATTGTGTTTACAAATTATTTTAATTGATATTACTACAACAATATTGCAAAAATGAAAACATCAAGCACTGAGTGACAACAACCCGTCCACAAGTGTGTTTGCCTGTTTAACAAGCTCTGTGGATTAGATTTGATGGGCTGCTGGTTTATGACTACCCTTCAGATCAGATCTGGTCTTACATAATTTCAGTTTTATGTGTTTTATTCACTTAATATGCATCACGGTTTCTGGAAAATAATCTCTTCAGTGTCTCTGTTTGCTAAATGTCTCAAATCCAGGTTAGCCCAGAGAGTTAACTTAAAACTGCGGTCCTTTTGAGTTTAAACTTACTTTTGACCCAGTGGGCATACCTCAAACTTGACAGGCTGGTCAACAATGAATTCATTCCTAGGTTTCTAAAAAACAGCAAACTCCATCTTTTGGTGGAATGAACCAGCAATATTACTGGTTGAGAAACACAGTCATTCAGAATGAGCGCTGACCCTTAGACAGAGATTTGTGGAATGAAGAGGTGCTGTATTTCAGCACTACACTCCCTGAAGGCAACACATAGAGTGGAGGCTCCGTTAAAACATGTCCCTGTGAGGAATGTGAGCTTCAACACAGAACTCACATATGTAGAAAGCCTCTATGATTGCACATATGTTTGAGTGAAAAAGTGTCATTACTGTGATCTTCCACAGATGGCTGAAACACTGTAATATGTTATATTATTATTATATAATTCTAGTTAAACCTAATTTCCTGTGTGATCAGTAGATTACATAAACAGAACCAACATGTGGGAAAAACAGTACTGTATTTGACATGATGCACAACAGTTCTATTAAATTAATGCCCGCACAACAATCAATGAAAACAGCTTTGTGGTTAACAAGGTCCCAAATTTAATTTCAAAATAATAGAGCTTTAAAATCCCAGTGGGTTAGAATTTCAGTGTTAGGTTCTAACAATGGTAGTTTCTACTACTGTATTTTGCATTTGTGCCATTCAGTCAAATTAATATAAAAGTAACATTTAAAAACCACACAGATCATTTTAACCAAAACAAAATCTAAAATAAAATGCCAAACCTCTGTATGATGAAGCAATGTACCATTAAAATTACAGTATGCTGGGCTATAACACTAATTAATGTGTCAACCAATGACACACGTAAATGTTAAATAAACATATGACAGCCATTACAGATGCTTATTGTTTATTCACATGTACAGAATGAAACATGTTACATTATGAGCATATTTTATAGTGTGTGCTATTGTTGCTTCATATTTATGTTCTGCACTTTCTTTTCTTCAATACAAGACGTACCTCAAAATAAATGTGTATGGTAATCCTATTTTTGAATAATGGAACAGAAGTGCTTTTTAATGCTTAAGTATGTTATTTGCTCTGGAGGCTTTTGACATTTATTGCAATTTAAAAGTGTGAAATTCCTGGGTGTCGGCCTTGTCTGCAGGCTCTATAGCCCAAGGCCGCCCAGAGGTTGTGTCTCTACCTTGATACTCCCCTCATCTCTTTCTCTCTCTCTCTGATGCCTCATTGGCTGATTCTGTTCTGACTTGCATGGGCAGGAATGCACCTACCTTTTAATGCACTTCTATGTTCAAGCAATTTGACAATGAAGAGCGCCATCATTTTGCAGCATAAATATTTCATTCCCCATTTGGATGCAGATTCGAGATGTCACACCCAGAATACAAATGGGCTGTCTCTCCCATGGAATAAAACAGTGGCCCTGTGTGAATATGATTTGTGTGAGCACTAGACAAATATGGTGCAATGTGATTAGGTTTTACTCAATCACTGGCACTGTAAAAAAAATCAAAAATAATAAAATCTGGATCATAAACAAATTCCACATTTTCAACTGCTGGCAACAACATGGAGATGCAATTACCCGAAAGTCCAGCATTTCTGCAATTTCTTACAATCACTTTTTAAATTTTATTCTTTTTTTACTTCAGTATTTACATAAATTGATCAAACAACACTGAACGAAGTCAGCTTGAAAGTTAACTGATTTAGGCAGTTTTAGTGAACTTTTTCTGTCTTTAAGGGATGACCTCAGAAATTCCTAAGAAGTCTTTTGTTATGCATACACCTGTGATCCTGGGTCATGGTGTTTGGTAATTTCTATCACTGATCAACTCTTTAACTGTAGTTGATTACATTTTGTGTTCCATCTAGAACTAGATCCATGCTATTGAACGGAGGTGGAAAAACAAGTCCTGCAGATTTTGAAGGACTTGTACTTTACTGGAGTACTTTCGTTTTATGCTACTTTATACTTCTACCTTACTACATTTCAGAGTTTTTGTAGTTTTTACTCCATTTGACCTATATGATTACAAGTTACTTTAAAGATCAAGATTTTGTACACAAAACATACATGATCAGCTTCACCCCAACCAGATAAAACATTAAAATGCTGTTTATACACTGATGTATCAGTAATAACACTTAATAATATAAGACTGCTGATAGGGTAAATTTGTACTTATGTAGAATAATGTCTTTTTAATTGTAATGGAGTACTTTATAGTACAGATATTTTGGCCACCTGGGGGCAGTTGAAACAAGCTGTGTAAACACAATACATCCCTTTTTAAGTTGATATGATGAACTTGTTTGCAAACAGTTACTTATTTACACATCCGGCAGATACAGAGCAACATTAGCATTCATTTGGAGTTATGTTGTGTGTTACTTTGCTTGCTTTGTATTGGTCTCCACCGCATCCTAAAGAAATTATTTTGTTCTTTAGCTGCTAAATGGCCCGCTCTGTTAACAGTTAACACTAACTATGTCTGTCTGCTTTTTGGTGCCAGACTGCTAGAATACCGCAGGTTTTAAGAGCTTTTTTTTACAGAAACTGCTGCTTAAAATAAAGAAGCTACAAAACTCTGTAGAGCTGACAGAAACTGCTGAATATGGTGTGGATTTACCACCACAAGTGAACACCTTTACAACATCATTTGATCTGTTGTTATTTTAAAATATTAAGTATGGCCACTTTAAGTAAAATTTGTCAATGTCCGCTGCTTTTGAATAAATAGAATGCAACATATATATCTAGAGAGGATATCTAGAGAGTGTTGATGGTAAATATGGTCCATTGGAGCGATAAATACCTCAATATGTGCTATATTGACAGAGAAAGCAGAGTTCTCCTGCTCACAGAGCCAGCAGTGCATAGGCTACATGTACCAGGATGCAAGCTTCTGACACCCACGCTCATCTACAAGCCGCTAAAGCTCTGAGGATACTAGCTGCTGGGTGCTTTGGAAAACAAATGAATTCCTGCATTTGAGCATTTATTTTTCACACATAGCCTATATCATTACTGTTAGGACATGTCTATCAAGTACATTTACATACACGACAGCACAACACACACGATTCAGTTTCTGCTGGCATCAGAGAGCTATTTGATCAAAGGCACCACCAGTTGTTTTTTTCCCCGGTGGCTGATGTCTGGTGCAAACTAGAGAATTCTCAAATCTAAACCAATTTTAAAAAAGGGGATACCACAGACAAATGGACAGATTTAACAGATGATCTCAACAACGCACACACCAGACGATTTAGTCAAGAGGCAGGACTACACACTT